TCTGACCCCCCCTGGCAGTACTAAGCCGACTTAGTGGCTGTGGCAGGATACCTTTCCTCCCCTGGTCAGTAGTGTGCTGCACTGGAAGAATTAAAGTTATTGAATGAGGAGAACTGGTGCTATAAAATTCAAATATTTTATCTTGACGCATTTTTAACTGTAAAGTTGTCTGGAAGGGACATACCAAATTAAGGATACTATATCTACCTCCTTCCACTTAATATTAGGTTGATTTTACTGCCATACACAAGGTAAATGTATCAGAGAAACAATACATGTCAAAATGCAACCCAGTCAAACTGAGATCCAGACCGAACTACGGAAATTGCCACAGAGTTAGATCTGTGGTCTAGCCAGCATTTTATGGTCAGCAGGGTCCCCAGGGAATCTATCATGAAAGGACAGGCATGTTTTCACTGACATCAAATCCTGTTGCTTATGACTCAAACCACCCAACCACTCGGCTTTTTTTCTGACTTACAGCTTCTATTTTCCTAGGGACTGGGAAACAGCCAAGTTTATAAATATGTATCTGTTAACAGAATCAAACAGGCAAGGCACAGTATTTATTGGGGAATGTTGTGAAGGGATATGAACTGAATCTGAGGCAAGCTAGCTGGCTACTGAGAATCCTGTACAAATGAGATTTTATCACAGTCAATTAGGTGAGGAGTGGTGGCCCAAGGGCACAAAACAAAGGCTATATAGGCTGGTAATTTCTTCACAGGTTTTGTTTTCTGCCTACTTTGGTTATCATCATTATTTCTATTCAACATCTTCTTGGAGGTCCCATCTAGTGCATTAGGGAAGACATGAAATAAAAGGTATAATGACTGCAAATGAAAAATAGAAATTGACATTATTTACATTTGTGATGACTGACAGTGTATGCAGAAAATCCAGAAGAATCTACAGTTAGAATTAACAAGTCAATTTGCTGGATATGGGTCAATACAGTATTCCCATACAGTAGCAACAACAACAAAATCAGAAAATAAAAAATTAGAAATACCATTTACAGTAATATACATACACAAAGATCAAATAACTAGGAATATATCTAAAGAAAAAATATGCAAAAGCTCATCACCGAAAACTATTAAAACACTTAAAACATTTATTAAGACTTAAATGAAGCTGATCATAAATTAGGAGATATGATAATATCATATTGTCAATTCTCCCCAAACTGATGTACAGATTCAATGCAGAGTTAAAGTATGAGATTTTATTTATTTACTTATTTATTGGTGGAAACTGACAAGCCGATTCTAAAATTTACATGGATATTTGAAGGACCTACAATAGCCAAGGCAATCTTGAAGAACAAGCTGGAGGACTTAACACTAAACTAGCTATCCAGACTGTCCAGGGTGTCATTCTTGAAACTGTGTATGATGTCATCACTGGAAATTTCATCCCAAGCCCAGAGTACCTATTCACTTCTCCCACGTTAGCTAGTTTAATTCATTTTTCCTATAAGTATCTGTGATCTTCATAACATAAACACGGTATTGCTTTAAGTGATTTTTAAAAGCTAATTTATAATGGCATCTTACATACCTCATGAATATGTTAATCCGTTTTTTTCTAACTTTTCAATCCTTTCTATGAAATAAGAAACTAATAAATACTGTATTTTTCAAAAACAGAGCCTGCTCCATATTCTGAAAAACTGTAAGAATTGATTACAATACAAATCCTTTCCTGGGGATAATTTTTGATGAGAAACTCTTACTAGATGCTAAGTGGACACATATGATACAGAAGTACTTGAACAAATGGACATTTGCCTGACTCTTTACAGAGACACATCCAAGGATGCAAATCTGAATAAATCAGACATTTGTGTATGTAGGAAAAGGCAGGCAAAAAGGAGAATAAAACTTTAGCCACATATATTTTTTTCATCTCCCAACCCAACTAATATACCAGAAAGGAAAAGAGCAATTCAGAATACACTAGTAAACATGCAGAAAACATAGGCATCACTGCTTTTATGAATTATTTCCCATACTTTATGGGTAAGCGACCGAAAAAGGTAAAATACTCCTCCTCTAACGTGGATCAACTATAAATCCCACCAGGCTTTTAAAACTCCGTTATTATTTGTTCTGTTTAACTGCCAGTTCAGACCCCACAAATACAAAGACAACTGTTCACAGACCAGAGTTTCTGGGCCTACTCCAGAAAGTGTGTTTGATACACTGGAGGTTTCTGCCTGTTTTGAAGCTTGTGGCCTGAAATTACTTTTCTTCCTGGCAGTAACTCTAAGTCCAGCAATATTTTTAACATTAAAAATAACTCCCTCACTACATTCCTTGAAATCTCTAAAACAACTGTCCTATTTTATACTCTAATTTTATTTTTTTTATTTTTTTTAAAGATTTTATTTATTTATTTGAGAGAGAGAATGAGATAGAGAGAGAGCATGAGAGGGGGGAGGGTCAGAGGGAGAAGCAGACTCCCTGCTGAGCAGGGAGCCCGACGCGGGACTTGATCCTGGGATTCCAGGATCATGACCTGAGCCGAAGGCAGTCGCTTAACCAACTGAGCCACCCAGGCGCCCTATACTCTAATTTTAAAGAATTCATTTCTTAATGAGAAACTTTCAATTATTAAGCCATTTGAACTTTACAGCATAAAAACCTGTTATAGACCCTTTTGTACGAATTTTCCTTTTGGATTGGTTGAGTTGATAAACACTAATTTCAAGATACTTATAATTATCTTACTAAAATCTGGAGGAGTCATTTACAGTAAACTCAAGGGCATCTTACAATATTAGAAGTAGCTTAGAGTCCATAGGCCTCTAATGAGAACCACAACCAAAATCATTATTAAGAGACAAGGATTTATCCTAATTATTTATTTATCTGGATGACCTAGGTAGTATCTTAACTACTTAAATCTGCTTAGGTATGTTATCATGTGGGATTTGTTCTGTGAATCATGGATTAAGAAAAAATAACCAGGGGTGCCTAGCTGGCTCAGCCAGAAGAACATGTGACTCTTGATCTTGGGGTCCTGAGTTCGAGCCCCACGTTGGGTGTGGATTATTACTTAAATAAATAAAACCTTAGAACAAATAAATAAATACATGTTGCCATTAAAAACTGCATGTTCCCACATAGCTCATAAGTTCTTTGAACGAGTTCTTGAATATTTCAGGGTTATCTTTAAATAGTTAATATGATCACAGACATTATTGGAAATATGCTAATGGATATATGTATAAAGATTAAGCACTGCATAACTATGGGAAGTTTCCTTCGGCAACAAATCGCTCTGAATGTATTTGTATAAATCCCCAAACATATCATCTCAATCCTAAACACAATTTTCAAAATAAGTTAACTAGATAAACTCATTTCACTGTCTGCCTAGAACAAAAAGACATAGGCTCAGGTGCTTCAGCCCACAGCACAAAGGGAGTGTTCTAAGAATAAAAAGGGGGAAATTCAGGAGGATCTAGGCCGTATATTTAGAAAGAGAAGAAGGGGAAAAATACCTCAGTTCTCCACTGTCACTGTCAGCTACGCCAGTAATTCCACTCTTGATAGGCTATCATTCACCTAAGGCACTTTTTAAAAATTCATATTTTTGAAAATGATGGCCTGAACATGTGTTTATCTTTAAACTTCCTCTCCAAATCCTACTAAAATGACAATTAAGAAATCAAAAAAGTATAAACCCTTAAGAACAAAAAGAGTAAGAAAGAAGACAACAGCTAATCAGAGAAGCTGACAATATTTTGGAAAACAGAAAGTGGGTCGACAGGAAGTAACAAACATTTAGGCTAGAGAAAGGAGAAACCTTAATGTTATCCATAAAATGCTATAAAGGCTCAGGAATTTGAGGTACCCCTGAAAATATCAATGAGGAATGGTACCAACAGAAAAATGTTAAAGTCCGTGGAAGAAACAATCAGAGCTTAAGATCCCTACGCCCACTCCATATAGCAAGGACACCACCCCTCTCCAGCTCAACAGAAGATGGGAAGCTTATTTCTCCCTGGAGAAAATGAACCAGGGAGGTTCTTGGCACAGTGGGAGCAGGGGTGAAGCATCATACTGGAAATAGGAGGATTACATGAAAGTCCATTCTTTTGATGATAAAGTGTAAAATGCACTGTGCTTAGCAACAAAAGGAAAAACAGGGAAGATGTTTACATCTATTCCACTAAGTTTATCACAAATTACAGTTCTTCAAAAGCACTCATCAAACTGTTCTGGAAAGAGCTATGGAAATGGTAGAACATCTAATAAACCTCTTCACTGTAGAAAATTTCAACTCCCTACTACTCATGTTTGTTAAAGGAAGTTTTGGTAAGTTGTGTAGCAGCATGATATGATGAACGGAGACCCCGTATGCATCTGCAGCAAGAAGTTAAAACATTCTAACTGGGTACCAATGGAAATGTTCACATTTGATTAATTTTAGGAATAGAAACCTTCCCTCTCTTTCCCTATCACAAACTCCACAATTATTTTTTTAAGAAAAAATAATTTAAATTACATTTTAATTGTATACCTATCGAAGAAAATGTGTGAGAAAAACAAATTATGACATATAAAGCTCTTCCAGAGTATAAAGATCTACCCTTGCAGTATTTGGACAGCTTGGATTTTTAACTGGTGTAATAACTTTCTATGCTATAAATACTGAAAGACTTTACAACAGTCTGGATCAGAAAGAAAAAGAGAACACCAGAACCCATACATAAAGCACACCATCATAAATCTGGAGAAATTTATGATATCCTTAAAGCACTGATATTGAGTATAATTCCAGCTGAAACTCTGTACTATTTGTAAAAGAGAATCCCCTTGATAAAATACATCAATGTTGAGTTATTACTTGCTCATTGGATGTATCTACTGGTGGAGTAGTATGTACCCCTGCTCCAAGGGCTACCCAACACCATCCCTCCATGTTCAACTTTTTTTGCTATTGATTCCTACCACCAAGCCCAAGAGCCCCAGATCAACATCACAGACCTTCTCCCTCAGCCACATCAGAACGGTCCAACTTGGCTTCTTTATGTTGTCCTTCTGCCACCTTCACAGCAACAGCTCGGCAAATGGCCCCAAACTTCCTGTCCAGAGATCGAACCCCTGCCTCCCTGGTATACCTGTCATCAAAGGAAAATATTTTATTTCTGGCTAAACACCACCTGTAAAATCAGAAATAATATGATTAACATTTATACTAAAGAAACAGTATACATTTGAAAGTCCATTACATTTTCTTAAGTACTAACTTCCTCACATTTAAAAATTCCCCATTAAAGTACTGTTATTTCTTAAATATTCAGATGTAGGGGGCGGAGCAAGATGGCGGAGGAGTAGGAGACCTGGATTTCGTCTGGTCTCAGGAATTCAGCTGAATAGGGATCAAACCATTCTGAACACTAGGAACTCAACAGGAGATCGAAGATAAGAATAGTAACAACACTCTGAACAGAAAAGCGACCACTTCCTGGAAGGTAGGACCTGCAGAGAAGTGAATCCGAGGCGATATTAGGGAGGATACACGGCAGGGGAGGGGCCTCCGTCGGCCGCTTCTGGCGGGTGCTGGAGACGCGGAGCACAAAATCGGAACTTTTAGAAGTCGGCTCCGCTGAGGGACGTCGCTCCAAGGCTAAGGCGGGGGGTGGAACCCTTGCGGGACAGTGTGGTCTCAGGACCCTCGGGGTCACA